GGAGGATCAGCATTTTAAGGAATGATGCCTTATGTGTAAACGCCCATAACTAACCCTGCCTGTAGTGTGCTGGCAGATGTCACCCCTAGTTGTATACTAGATTTATACGCTGTCCGTTCTAAAGATCTCGCGGCTCGGGTTTTGCATCTTTCTCTCAGTTTGTCCCTCTAATTGCACTTTGAAATTGCTCACGGATTGCAGTTCTATGAAAAAAAAATTGTTTTGCCCTGCTGTGTAACCTGCTAGAAGCCGATCTGAATGGAAAAATAGCTGTCAGCTACCGACGTGAAGCTGACACCTTTTTTCTTCTTAATACTAGGTGAGGCTCCGCCCCCCCTGACCGCACGTCCTTGTGCTCCATGTATGTTGTGCCTCCCAGGTGCTTGCACTCGACTGTAATCCGCAGGTGCAAGTAAAATGCAGTTTTATTAAGGGCAAACGCCATACATCTCGTTCCATCCACAGGGTAGACCTCCCCTGTTGCACAAGATAGCTTCCCTCGTGAGCCCTCAGTCTGCTCTCTCAGCAGTGTGTCCCGGGGGTCCCTTGGGTCACCGACCTTCCCGACCTCTCCCAGCCTTCCCTGGCTGTCCGCACGCACCTGAGTCTGCTGTGGCTCTGTGCTTCCTGCACCCACACAACTCCCTCTCTGAGTTCTGGGCTGGCTTCTAATAAGGCTGCTCTCAGCCACCTGATCAGCCCAGGCTGGTCATTGGCAACACCTGGCCCCAGGACTGGAGATCTCATCCCACCCAGAGCTCTAAGAGATCTCCAGAGCTCCAGATCCTAGCTATAATTAGGAAAACCTGGAAGGACCTGAAAAGCCAGGCTCTTCCTTAAAACATTGTTTACATTCTGGACCCTCTAAGCCCCTTTGGCTGAGAGTCCTGGGTGCCAATGTTCAGCCCCTTTGGCTGAGAGTCCTGGGTGCCAATGTTCAGCCCCTTTGGCTGAGAGTCCTGGGTGCCAATGTTCAGCCCCTTTGGCTGAGAGTCCTGGGTGCCAATGTTCAGCCCCTTTGGCTGAGAGTCCTGGGTGCCAATGTTCAGCCCCTTTGGCTGAGAGTCCTGGGTGCCAATGTTCAGCCCCTTTGGCTGAGAGTCCTGGGTGCCAATGTTCAGCCCCTTTGGCTGAGAGTCCTGGGTGCCAATGTTCAGCCCCTTTGGCTGAGAGTCCTGGGTGCCAATGTTCAGCCCCTTTGGCTGAGAGTCCTGGGTGCCAATGTTCAGCCCCTTTGGCTGAGAGTCCTGGGTGCCAATGTTCAGCCCCTTTGGCTGAGAGTCCTGGGTGCTAATGTTCAGCCCCTTTGTCTGAGAGTCCTGGGTGCCAATGTTCAGCCCCTTTGGCTGAGAGTCCTGGATGCCAATGTTCAGCCCCTTTGGCTGAGAGTCCTGGGTGCCAATGTTCAGCCCCTTTGGCTGAGAGTCCTGGGTGCTAATGTTCAGCCCCTTTGTCTGAGAGTCCTGGGTGCCAATGTTCAGCCCCTTTGGCTGAGAGTCCTGGATGCCAATGTTCAGCCCCTTTGGCTGAGAGTCCTGGGTGCCAATGTTCAGCCCCTTTGGCTGAGAGTCCTGGGTGCCAATGTTCAGCCCCTTTGGCTGAGAGTCCTGGGTGCCAATGTTCAGCCCCTTTGGCTGAGAGTCCTGGGTGCCAATGTTGCCATACTACGCCGCGGCATTGCCATGTACTGCCACAGCCTATACAGCCTATAGCATGCAATGCGTCATGTGCGTTGCCCCCAGTGTCCTCTGTAGGGACAGGAGCGCAGTGCCGGACCCGCAAGGGGTTAATGGGAGGTGGATGCTAAGCCGGAGCTGTCAGATAAGGACGGCTAAGTTATATTTTCTGGGATTTCCCTAATTTATCTGTTTGCTGATGAAACATAAAAGGATTATCGCCGGGATGGAGGTCACCGGGTGCCCAGCGGGGGAGAAATATATCCTCTCTTTACAAAGGAAGACATCAAACGATCATTATAAAATACTTATTGATAGAAGAGATGGATTTCTTCACCACATTCAGATCTTACGCCACGCGATACCGAATTGCTGCATCGCAACCCAGTATCAGTTACAGCAGAGGTGACTTTTACTTAGTATAAGCTATTCACACCATAAGATTCTATACTGATGAAACATAAAAGGATTATCGCCGGGATGGAGGTCACCGGGTGCCCAGCGGGGGAGAAATATATCCTCTCTTTACAAAGGAAGACATCAAACGATCATTATAAAATACTTATTGATAGAAGAGATGGATTTCTTCACCACATTCAGATCTTACGCCACGCGATACCGAATTGCTGCATCGCAACCCAGTATCAGTTACAGCAGAGGTGACTTTTACTTAGTATAAGCTATTCACACCATAAGATTCTATGACTTATCCCCCGTGCACCTCTCTGAAACTGGTTTTCCTGTGTCACTAGGGGCCTGACTTTCCTGACGCCTCGGCTGCCATTCTATTGTACAGCGAGGCTGCCTTACCGGCCAGTAGGAGAGTTCTGATTGGATGGGGGGGTGGGGTCGGCGTTTGGCTTATTTAACCTTTAACCCAGATGACTCAGTGAAGTGAAACTAGTTACAGAGAGGGGCACTAGGGAAGGTTTACCAGTGAATAAAGGGGACAGCTGGCATCTCGTGGTGTTTACTATCAGGCAAGACTGAAAATGGCTGCTGGAATCACTTCAAAATAACATGGGCAGTGACCAGTAGCTCATACCTGGCCGGCTATTGAACGGGTGAAGATTATTTTTAAAACGGTCAGAGAGGAATGTCGGGTCACGACATTCCTCTCCAGAATGTCCAGTCCCGGCCATAGGACACGGCCTTAACAATGTCTAATGATGGAGTCAGCCTCCCCACCCATTGGATTTTCCATTATGTAGGCCAAGGGTGGGCTACACCGGCCCCTCCAGCTGTGCTTTAAAGCAGAACTATGGGGTCAGGGCTTTTCCCCATAGTTCTCGTTAAGCCCCGTTCACATTGAGCGATTTATCGCGCAGTAATTCCCGCGATATCGCGGCAAATTACCGCGCGATATCGCGCTCCAATGCATTTTTCAATGGGGAAAGGGTCCTGCATGTCGCGGGTCGTGTGTCGCTACAGCAGGACCCTTTTTGGAACGGATTTAGCCGCGATTCAAGCTTGCTCAATGCAAGCTTGAACGCGATATCGCGCGGCAAATCTCGCAATATCGCACAATATGCAAATCGCGCGACAAACGCGAGATTTGCATTATTGCGCAGTGGGAACGGGGCCTTAGGGTAACGGGAGGACACAAACTAGCGTCCTCCCGTCACCCTAAGCTCAGTATATAGGGAGCTACAGCTCGCGGTATACTGAGACGCCGCAGCCGGAGCGGATCCCGACATCGATGCCGAGATCCGCCCAGCTGCGTGAGTGACAGCTGGCTCTGCCTATCTAGAGGCAGAGCCAGC